TTGCTGACATGTTAAAAAATATCTAAGTTGGTGCTGACATGTAAATCTATAACGGAAATAACGATACTCGTGTAGCACGTGATCGTTTGGCGTTAAATTTTGTCTCATTTCCCCGAATTAGAAATCACGAAGGGTAAAAATTCATATATTAAAATATAAGGGGTAAAACGCCTCAAATTCAAAATCTTTAAGGGCAAACGGGTACCTTTTGCCCAAAATTTCAGCACAATGCACATCAATTTAAGATAGTATTTGAGAAATTAAATTTGAATTTAAGAAGTGTATTTAAAATACATATATTTAAAATATATGTAATTTAAATACATGTATTTTAAATACTTATTAAAATATATAATTTGGATAAATTAAATGACTATAAATTTGAAATTGAATTAATATTAATTCTTTTTATTGAAACATTTTTACAAACACGTAGTAAACAATCCTAGTTACCTATGTCATTAACCTTATTTCTTTCCATCTGTTTGAATTACTGTGTCAAAAAACTTAAAATATCATAATTCCAATGAGGCAATTTATCAAATAGGTGGTGTGCAAAGCGAATCTACAGAGAAATAACCCTCGCCGTCCACATCGACCTCCATTGCGCCAGCGTCGAGTTCTCCTTTCTCCGACTTCGTGGTCTTCGCTTCCTCCTCAAATCTCTTTGATCCATTGCCCAGTCCGATTCCATTATCCTCCTCTTTTGCCACACACAATCCATTCCTGAGCTTCGAGGTTCTTTGACTTCCACTCCACCAATTCCATTTTATTTTTCTTTTATAATTGATATGATGAAATACCAAAATTAAGAATTGAAATTCATAGGGTAAATAGGAGAATTTGAAATACATGTAATTTTTATTTTGAAATACACAATTTTAAATATATGTATTTGAAACAAATTTAAATACATTTTTATTTAATAAAAATAAATAATGTATTTAAATTTAAAATCTCAAATTCAAGTACACTTTAATTATATTTACTTACCAAACATAGCATTATACATTTAACGAAGTTATAAAACCGTCTCTCTTTTTAACAAAAATAAACCTTACTTCCTATACAACCAAGGCGAATCATGCAAATTACCCCCTAAACATGTCAAGAGGTGGCAAAAAAGCCCCTCAACTGAGATCAGTAGCATATGACCCCTTAAACTCATGTACGATGGCAAATCAACCCTTATTTAACTGACATGTCAATATTCCGTTAAAACTAACGTTTTTTTTTTGTTAGAATGGATTCCACCGCAACACTCTGCGGCCCATTGAAGTATGACATGGCCTCTCATGTCATAAAATTATTAATATTTTTGAATTTTTAAAATATTTTATTAGGATTTAATTACTATAATTTTTTATACATTAAAATTTAATTACTT